TGCACCGCGGCACGTGCGCATACGAATGCGTGAAGTACATGGGCGCGAAGCCCTCCCATCCGTCCGAAGTGCATATAGGGGGCTGCTGCTTCGCGAACGCGATCTGGTCCGTTCTGGTGGCCGAGGCGCCCTTTGCGCAGAGATCGGGCTTGTATCGCGTCTCGAAGATGCTGTTGAAGTACGCGCTGTCGGAATGGGTGATGGTGATGTCGTTGTAGAACGCCACGCCGCCGAGGACGTAGCGCTCGCGCCAGGTAGCGTGTTTGCCTAGCAGGGCCTTGGCTTCGTCGGCGGGGAGCGAGAGGACAAGTTCGTCGTACATCTCGCAGAAGTCATCTAGGACTGCTTGCGCGGTTGGGCTGTCTGAGTCCGTTGGTCGGGGACGGAGTGTGATGCCTTGGTTGTCTCGTTGCAGGATTTCGACTGCAGTGTTGAGACAGATGTGCACGCCTTTGGACGCCAGGTCTGCAGCCCAGTCGCGGTAGAAGTCGCCTAAATTGGGGAACGTGTACATGGTCGGTTGATTGGGAAGTAGTGTGTCTGGATCGTACTCCCATAGCCTCATATTGGGATCATTAAACAGTCTGTCCAGCAGTGCGGCCGAAACGTTCGGTGTCTGGTTCCCCGTTCCCAGGAAGAGCGCCAAAACCGGAAAAACCATCTTATTGGCAAAGTCCTCGCTGAATCTGAACAGCTTCATTATCACCTTGATGGGCATGACTCCCAGGATCGGAAACAGGCGCTTAATCCATCTGAGAACGCGGCCCAATTTCTTGATCTCGGATGACAGTTGGTCAACCAGCGGTGAAGGAAAGACATTCGTGAAGAAGTTATCCACGCCCTTGCCGAACGCAACTTGCAGTTTCACCGGACGAGGCTCGTAGCCGTACCGACGGAAGAAGTTGAAGGTGTGTCGGAAGATCGGGGAGCCACCCTGCACGCCATCGTTGAGCCAGTCGGCCCCGTAGCGGGATTCGTTCAGGGAGATGGAGGTTGCTTGACCGCCGGTGTACGAGGCAATGTCGAAGAGAGTCACGTCAAAGCGATCGGGATGGTTGGCCAGAGCAGAGGCGCAGGACTAGTTATTCAACTGGTGTCCGTATAGATCGATCTGGTGGATGAAGGCTTACCATGCCAGCAGGCCCAGCGCCAATAATAGCAACTCGGTTTTTCTTTTGGGACATTTTGCTATTCTACAGCTATTCTTACACTATGGGTTTGAAAATTTAGACGAGGGGTCAGATTGGAGTTGTAAACAGCGTACATCTTAAATATAATTGTCATGCGTGATCATGACATCAACTCCCGCAATCGTCGGCCATCACGATTCGATCTCAGATCGATCAGATCGGCCCTTGATCACTCAATAAAAAAGCCAATTATTGTGGTACAGGCAGAAATAATCTCTGATAAAGTTACTGAACTTTTCTCCGGGCTTCAGAATCCAATGAAGCTTCTTTCTTACCAGCTCAGTGTGCCTTTATTTGACGTCAACTGGCATCGATTTGTCACGATCAATCGCTAAAAGCACAGTAGTACACTTAATCCTTGACGTATACTCCATAGGCTGCGTAATCAATATAATGCTAAATAACATGGTTCTAGTGAATCCTTACACTAGGCATATACTCAGTCGCTGTGCTTGCAAGACATGGCAGCATCTAAGCGACACAAAGACATTAACTCAGACATCTATGATCTCAACTGTGGATACTCTCAAAGAGCAGTATCATATGTCACCTCTCCACCCACATCGACGGAACCCTACTTATCATCAGCTTTGCCTCGGAACTCAAGGAGAAAACTCACCGAGCTTCAACAACCGCACACCGACCCCCCTGGACAACCTCAACGGCCTTCTGCAGAGTGGAATCAACTTCGTCCGCCTTGGTGACGGTAGCTCCCCAAGCGTTGCCGGCCGCAGCCGCAATCCCAGGGTAATCCGGCGACGGCTCAAACGACAAATTCAAGTCTACGTGCCATTAGCATGGCCAGCCACTCTAACAAAAAGGAAAACTCACCCGCTCTATTCGACTTGGACGCCAGACCGTCCTTGTGGACGAGCAATGTAGACACCTTGGGAGCGTTCCAGCCACTGTTATTCAGTACAATCAAAAGGAAAGGGACTTCGTATCGCCGTGCGATCCAATACACGGATTCCATCTGTGAGAAGAGGTATGTTCCATCGCCGACGCTATATCTGTCAGCTCAGCTGTACACTTCAATGAGCTGGGGAACTTACATTGCACAGATGAAAGAATCTCGTTTGGCCATTTTGACCCCCAGCGCTGCACCGCCGCCCCAGCCGAGGCCGCCTGCTCCGCTGCCGTAGAGCGTTCCGGGCTGGTGTGTCAGTAAGGTTGAGGTTTATGGTAAGTGGCACACATACCTTGGTAAGGTTCAAGTGATGGATGACGGGAATGGCGTTGGTGACTGCTTCAATGACAATAACACTGTCTTCCGGTAGGTGCTGGCGGAGTTTGGACGACAGGTATGGAACCGTTACGGTGCCTTCTGGTGAAGGTACTTCGAGGTCGCGTAGGCTCTTTCTCCACTGTTTGTAGCGTGCCGCGCGTGCGTTGAATGCCTCGGCGTATTTGGAACGGTCGAGAGATTGCTTGTCGAGGTAGGCGTTCAGCTGCTGCAAGGCTAGCTCGCAGCTGACCTTGTATCGCCGGATAGCTTGCATGAAGAACACTACAGCCGTTGGTACAAAATGAAGTTTTAGCAAAGGTCCTAGACTCACCTGGCATCTGTTGCTTTAACGGATCTACGTCGAGATGGAATACTTTCGTTCCTGTGTTGCGTAAGCTATTGTTTGAAGAAGGTTGTACAAGGAGCATACCCTCTGCAGGCTTGCCTGCTGTCGGAACCCAAGGAACATCACAGTCCATCACCAGGATGACATCCGCCTCGCATACAGCCGGATGCGTGCTGACTGTCACACCGAGGTATGCCTCGTGATCACTGCGAAGACTCACGTCCGACCCGACGGTTTCAATAACGCTGATAGGAAGCTTGTCGCATAATTCTGCCAGGAGCGGCGGCGTCCGTGGATTGCGGCCCATATAGCCTGTGATGATCAACGGTCGTTTGGCGTCTACCAAAGCAGCGGCGATGCGCTCGACTTCGGGTTCAGGCAAGGCGCAGGGGGTGACGGGACCCATGAGTTCGTTGCCAAAGTCGGGAATTTCTACTTGCTGCTTTCATAAGTAACCATCTCAAAATAAGAACGCTAACTTACCTCCTCCAGGACTTCTCGTGCAGCGGTAAGGTATGCTGGACCCTTTGGATCAGACATGGCAAACTGCATAGCGCGAAACACCATTTGCTTGATGTTGCGGCCGGTACGGATCTCGCCTGAATAACGGCAGTACTGTCGCACGATGGATGCTTGGTCGGGGACATCCTGCAGCCAGTGGATGAATCTACAGGTGTTAGATGGCTTTGAGTCAAATATGGTCGTAGCTTACTCTGTTCTCGAACCCAGCATCTCCCCGCTATCAGTAAAAGGACTCAATCCCGCAAAACACAGGACGGGCACTCGAGTGACGGAGGCATTGTGGATGGATTGGCCCATTGCGAGGGTTCCGCAGTCGACGTGTACAATGACGCATTGCTTTTGAGTCAGTCGGTTTCATTTCTGTAATAGATAGAGACGTACTGGAGATCCGGTTACTTGAGCATAACCCAAGGCCGCGGATAAAGCGACCAGTTCCGAGGGACAGGTGATGATCGTAGGAAATTTGGTTGAGTTTTCTTCACTCTTCGTCAGCTGTGAGACTTACTCAAAGACTGGACTATATACCCTGTTTCGCTTTGATCATGGCCTCGAGCATAGCCGGATGATCACTCCCCCTGATCAGAGTCAGTATGATGGGAGCAAAGAGGGTTGTCGACTGACAAATTCACAAAACAGTACTTGACTCCAGCCTCAACTACATCATATCAGCTCCACTCATCAACAATAACAGAGCTCATATACCCAATGCCTCGAAAAAGCCAGTGGCAGCGGAGCCAACACGGCCATCACTTTCCCATTTCCGTTTCTTGGTCTGTATGTCGCCGGTCATTGTGAATTTTTTGATGCGTGGGTGCTATAGGTATCGAGTCTCTTTCCAAGGCAGAAATGGGAGGCTTTTGAACATCTCACTGGTCTACAGCTGGGAGATATCAACAGTCAAGTACCGAACGAGGAGTAATCTGGCGAGCTTTGCAGAGCTTGTGTTTCTTGGCGCGATTTCGGAACATCCGGGGGCCAATCAGACGCGTGCAATTTGGGGTAGCTCCTTCCTTCCCCGCGTTGGCTGCCGATGGACCTGCCGAACATTAATACAACTAGAGACAGATATGATCTGGGGAAGGCCCACACTCTCAGTCGATCCAGGTACAGCGGAATTTCTCCGCTTGGGTAGAAGAAATGGAAATAAAAACATAGCACTGAAAGGAGGTATCCACCAGCATTGAGGCGGTCAGGACCTGATTATCTCAGCCTGAAAGACGTAGACCGTATATCCTTTTATATACTTTTCAATAGTCTACATCACCAGGGCTTGGGACCGATCTACTAGGCTCCTGGTCTACCAATTTGTAAGAAGATGGGGAGTCGTAATTAAAAGGGAGGTGGAGAGAAGGTTGTCTTGGGCTTAAGCTCAACTCTTCGTTAAATTTAATGACAGAAGAAATAAAAGTAAGCATAACCCTTAAACTGACGGGGCTCGTCAGAGTACACTGTCCTCTTTGAAAGGCTGGAGGGATTCATACTTGTCTCAGAACCTGCTAAAAATAATCTCCTTTGCCATCTTCAGTGAGTCACTGGGGGTGGCGTACACGCTAAAAGGGGCGCTAAAAATAACTCAGTAAGCCCACGTTGTGTCCACGCCTATCAATCGGCTTCCGCCACTATTTAACATTATCCGTTGCTCCCTACCTGTTAATGGTGAATTTCTCTGCCTCCAAGACGACCGGCTCACTGAAAATTCTGCTGTCACCATAACAGCATGGCCGCGTTCCACCTTTTTCCCCGCCTCCCCTTTGAGCTTCGTGCTCGCATCTGGGAGCTGACAGTCGAGCCGCGTACTGTCGAGGTCCGCGTAAAGAAAGATAACAGTCTATGGGGCGAGGGCGAGATTCTGCATGTAACCTCGTCAACACCAGTGCCTGCGGTCCTCCAGGCCTGTCACGAAGCCCGAAACCTAAGACTGTACCAGCAGGCCTTCAACTTCTCCTCGGCAGTTGAGCCGCGGTACGTCTGGGTCAACTTTGATATTGACATGATCTCAATTGGGGACACTGGTTTCGACATTAATGAACCGGCTGAACAACTGCTGATTCGCCGGCTTACCTTTGAGCGCGAGAATCTCGACTGTACTTTCTACCCTCGGTCCCTCGAGCTAGAAAAGTTTTCTAATCTGGAGGAAATCCATGTCATCTATAACGAAGGCATGATGGCATTTCAGGACGCCTACGAATATATTCCCTGGCCATGTCCAAAACAGAATCTGAAGATCTTTGGTAAAAAAGTCGGGCTGATAGCGGTTGGCGAAGATATGGATGAGATGGCGGAAACTCATTTGGCCGCCTTTCCCGACTACCAGCGGCAGATCGAACCGCGATCCGGCGCCGAGCTGCCCTGAGATGTTCGGTTCTGGGTCTGAGAGTTGTCTGAATCAACGACTGTGTTTTCGAGGCACGTCAGTACTTATTATTCAAGACAGGTGGAATCGGGGTAACGTACATCCAGTTCCCCCATTGTGTTTGGATATCCCAGCATCATTGACACAATTAATACTGACATGTCGGAGCTTGCGCTCGCCAATGATATCTAGGATATTATGCATCCATGCTGCCGGCGGATTGATAGGTATCCAATAATGGCCGTAGCGCTCGCTACCGGTAGCGCATGCCGTAGACACCTACATGGATACCGTCACCAACGGCACCAACATCCTTGACGTTTCGGAATACCTGCGTACAGTCAACGCTGAGCATGTTTCGCAGACGTACGTTAGTGAACCTGAAACCCATAAATATTCCCCCCAAGGAACAGTTCCCTTGTGGAATATGGTCTCCAACCTTGTCGATGTTTCTTTGCGGGTTGTCAGGACGCGGTCGTTCGGACTTGGATGGGAGAAGGCCGCGAACAAAAGTCCATGGAGGATAGCTGCGCTTCATAGGAGGTCGAGTAACAGCCTTACCCACTGCATGAGCGTGACGAGTTGTGATCTACAGTGTATACCTGTCTAGCATAAAATAGTACTATGCATATTCAATCTGTGTAACAACTAGGAGGCTAATGTTCTCCTATCAAATCACATGGCATAAATATATATATGTCAAGACACTAGGAGCTTTGCACGCTAATGGCCGACACAATCAATTTGTTAAGTATCATGACGCTTTTGTTTGAACTGACACCTAGCTGCAGCGTATATAGTAAGATTATAAGGGCTGAGGCAAAGACAAGAACCAGTAGCTGGTCATGAGATTTGACAAATTGGCATATCTGTATGTCTTGCTATGTAGTTGAGGTAGAAAAAGAGAAATGCTACAGAACTAGTCCCTCGGAAATTCACAGCACTAGAGAAGGGGAACAAGAAAAACAAAAACAAGAACAAAGATAAAGACATTGCTTAAAAATTGGAAGAGAGATATCCCTTAATTCTCATGAACTACCGGTAGCAGCGCCAACGACAATTATCATTAGCCTCCTAGCCATGACATATTTGCATCCCTGTTATGAGCTAGGGACATTCCGGAAAATGCACAAAGTACATAGACTTTGCCTATTTTTGACTCGAGAACCTAAGCACTGAACAGGACCCTGACTGTTCCCGCTCACTTAACTCGTATTGGAGGGAAATAACTCCAGAATGCTGGGTATGGCCGACGATCACCTCGGCGGTTGCTTAATCTCACCCTGTCTTGTTAAATGACAGAAAGTACTCTGATGCACCATAACTGCGTCATAGAAACTAATACTAATTGATAAGGCTTTGGATAGAGTAGTCACTACCCTGCTAGGAGTCATATCCACATGTCATGAGATCCTGTACTGGGTGATTCAGCGGGAAATCCAGGCTGGATCAGAATGGACTTTCCGCTTAGCGGGCTGCCTCCCCCCACAGAAGATGCCATTCCTCGATAATCATCCCTAGGACCAGCTATACACATGGGTACTATTCACTACGGCCAACTATCATTAAACTTGTTTTGTACTTTTTGTTCCATGGGGCGATTCCTGTTGCTGGGCCGTTGAATGCAAGGGGAGGATTGCTGCCACAATAGTAGCGGTGAAGATGTGTTTGCATTCCCTTACATGAGGTCTGAGGGTGATTCGCAATCACTGATCCTACTGCGCAGCTACGAGGAAAGAGGGGGAAAAGAGCGGAAGATAATATAATAATGTATTTAGCAGGGGGTGGAGGACGCCGGACGCCTTCAAAGAAGTTACAATGTATTCAGGATTTTGAAGTCTTATTAGTTTACCAATATCGCTATCTTACAATTTTCAACTTGTCACGAACTCAAACTAGCTCAGCAGAGTGAACAAAATGTCGTCAACAGCCGACTCGCCACTAAATTCAGTGGTTAGACCGGGTCAGTTTGATGCACTCTGTGCTGACAATTTGTGTTCCTTGCCGCAAAAACCAAGAGACCCCCCGGCAGATACCAACGAGGATGAAGCTGAGAGTAATGGGGGCGATGTTGCTCCTGTTCCCTTCCCCATCGCCATTGTGGGCATGTCAATGAGGCTACCGGGAGGTGTCAATTGCGAGAACGAGTTTTGGGAGTTCTTGATAAACAAACGAGACGGTGTGTGCAGAGTCCCGAACAATAGATATAATATCGACGCCTTTTACAAGGAGTCCACCTCTGGTGGTATTCGGACGCAACATGGATGCTTTCTCCAGCAGGATATAGCTCATTTCGATGCTGCTTTCTTTGGAGTGAGCAAGCTCGAGGCTGGCAAGATGGATCCACAACAGCGAATGTTGATGGAGATTGTCTGGGAGTGCATGGAGAACGGAGGTCAAACGCAATGGCGTGGGAAAAACATCGGATGCTATGTGGGCGTCTTTGGAGAGGACTGGTTAGATATGTTGAGTAAGGACACCCAGGCCAATGATCGATACCGGGTCATTGGAGCTGGGGATTTTGCTCTATCAAATCGGCTATCATATGAATTTGACTTGCGGGGCCCGAGCATGACAATCCGAACAGGATGCTCCTCCTCGTTAGTCGGCTTGCATGAGGCCTGCCAGGCTTTGTATTCGGGCGAATGCACTTCTGCCTTGGTTGCTGGAACTAACTTGATAATCACACCGACTATGACCACCTCTATGTCTGACAATATGGTCATCTCGAAGAGTGGGATCTGCAGGACATTTGATGCCGCGGCAGATGGCTACGGCAGGGGGGAAGCCGTGAATGCAATCTACATCAAACCACTAGATGCTGCCTTGAGAGATGGAGACCCCGTTCGAGCGGTTATTCGGTCAACTGCTGTCAATTGTGACGGTAGAACGCCTGGTATAACCACACCGGGCTCACAGGCACAGCAGCGCCTAATCCGGCGGGCATACCGGAGAGCAGGAATTACGGATATATGCAAGACAGGCTTTTTTGAGTGTCACGGCACAGGGACGGCTGTCGGGGATACAGCAGAGACGTCTGTTGTGGCAAAAGTTTTTGGAGACCATGGTATACACATCGGTGCAGTATGTTGACTCTATCATTCTCTAGGGTATGACAAGCTAAGTAGAGCCAGGTGAAAGCAAACGTCGGCCATTCAGAGGGTGCCTCGGGGATTACAAGCATCATCAAATGTGTTTTGTCATTGGAGAAACAGACTATCCTGCCGAATGTCTTCTTTAAGGATCCAAATCCCAAAAGTATGTCCCGCACAGTACCTTGTTCTTTTCCAAAATTGACACTCGCATTTGCACCTTAGTACCCTTTGAGCAAGCAAAGTTACAGGTTCCCACGAAGGCCATGCCGTGGCCCATAGATCGCTGTCAACGGGTTAGTGTGAATTCATTTGGCGTCGGCGGTACCAATGCCCATGTAGGTCTCCTCTTCGGCATAATCGTCGAGTAACGGCCCTGTTAGCTGACCACCTAAGCTCATCATGGATTCCGCGTCGACAATATGTGGAGAAGGATCGTCTGATAAGGTGTCAGACAAATGCTCTTCTCATTTGTTGCTTGTTTCCGCCAAATCACCCAAGTCATTAGATGGGAATATCGAGGCCCTCAAAGCTTACATCGATACCAGCTCGGTCTGCCCAAGTGACCTCGCATATACTTTGGCTTTGAAAAGAGAGCACATGGTTCATAGAGCATTTGCAATCCTTGATTGCAACGGCCAGATTTCGTCTTTTGAGAAATTGAAGTCTGTGTCTCCACAGGTCACCTTTGTATTCACCGGACAGGGCGCGCAATGGCCAGGGATGGGTAGAGAGCTGTTCCTTGAAAGCAAGAAATTCCGGGGTGACATCAGAATGCTGGATCGCGTCCTGCAGTCGCTAGAAAGCCCACCAAAGTGGACCATTGAAGGTGGGGCGATCGTGACGTCCGACTTCCTATCTTTATTAACTTCTTTTAGGGGAGCTTCTTCAATGCGATGACCCGGACAGGCTCAAAGAAGCTGAAGTGGCGCAAACTTTATGTGCTGCTATTCAAATAGGTGTGGTGAACATACTCCGTGACTGGGGAGTCAAACCTTCATCGGTGATCGGACACTCCAGTGGTGAGATAGCTGCGGCATATGCTTCCGGCGCAATACCCGCGGAGGTAGCCATAAGCATCGCATATCTGCGCGGCCACACTATTAGGTCGTCAAGATCGATTGGCGCCATGGCTGCGGTTGGATTAGGACGTGAACAGATCAAACCCTACCTGAGGGAGGGTGTTGTGATAGCATGCGAGAACAGTCCACAAAACGTCACCATTTCTGGGGACCAGAAAGCCGTAAACGAGGTCTTTGAGGAAATCCAGGCCAGCGACGAGATTTTCTGCAGGCTTCTGGCKGTAAATGTTGCCTACCACTCACCCCATATGAAGGATCTCGGGGAGTCGTTCGAGCAGCATCTGAGTCCGCATATGTCGTACAACAAGTCCATGGTCCCTCTCATCTCCACGGTCATTGGCGAAGTGATTAGTGAGCCCGACTGCTTAAATGCCAGATACTGGCGACGCAATTTGGAATCCCCTGTGCTTTTCAGCAGTGCAGTCCAAACCTTAACAGATGCCGACAAAGAAGAACGGCTCTTTCTTGAAATTGGGCCCCACAGTGCGCTCTCCAGTCCTCTACGCCAAATATTATCCGAAGCGGAGAATAAACGGCTATATTACGTACCGACCCTGGTGCGACGACAAGATCAATGGAGGTGTATGTTAGCTACAGCAGGTCAATTGTACATTCATGGCACTGCCCTCAATTTGGCTGGCCCGCTTGTTGGCAGTGGAAAAACATTGACCAATCTGCCACCTTATTCCTGGGAGTATAATGAACGCTTTTGGAACGAGACGCGGCTAACCCGAGACTGGAGATTGCGGGAACATTCGCATCACGAGCTGCTCGGGTCTCGTGCCCTCGAGTCCACCGACATCGAGCCGATGTGGAGGAACATCCT